TGAAAAAAGTACATGCACACGTATTCTCTGAGTGAAAATCTTAAGCTTCAGGATACTCAAAGTGCTCAAGTTTTGGACAGTTTTTGTCTATTGTTGGTTCTGTACAATGTAAATGAGTGGGAATATTCGTCATATAGCCACGTGTTTCTCTACTACTCTGGAAGAATTTAGGAATAAAAACTGATGGCGCTAGATATAAGCATAATAAGTCACTTTAAAGTTTCTATTCATAACAGATTCAGGAGGGAGTTGAACTCACAGTTCAGAGTCTGGTCCTCCTCCACTGAGAGGATGTTTACACCTCATTGTGTGTGTGGTGTGTGTGTGTGTGTGTGGTGTGTGGTGTGTGTGCGCCTGGGAGCATGAGTGTGTGTATGTGTCATCCGGGTTGAGCAGAGTCATGCATTCTTTCCATTACCCTCATCAAATCAATGTTCAACAGCCCTCCTCCATCTACTGTCTCTGTACAGCTGCAGTGTGTAAGTGAGTGTGTGTATTTGTGTAAATGTATGTCACTGGAATGCCTGATCAATAAACAGATAGGATATTTGATCAGGAAAAACTGGGACGACCACCCTGTCGATGTGGGTTCCAGATAAACTGCTGCTGATGGAAAGCTGCTTGATGTTATTTCACAGCATGTCGGCTTCAATTCTGTGAATTTTTTAGTGACTGGTTCATTAGTCTTACTTTTCTTTGAGCATCGCCAACAGTCTGTGATCTTTAGCTTTGAGTGAAATACCTCAGCAGTGACTCAATAGCATTTTACACCAGGACAAGCAGTAAAAACTCAAACTTGTGTTTAGTGCTAAATAGCAAAGTGCTACACATTCATGATGTGTGGCATGATAAAAAGTAATGAATAATTAGTCCTCACCATATCTCACATACCTCATAGTACCATATTTTCTGTGCTGTCAGACTACAGGCTTTCTTCTGGTTTCTAGAGTTTATTAAAGAAGAAAGGAGGCAGAACTTTCAGCTTTCACGCCCCTCGTCTGTGGAACCAGCTGTCAGGAAACAGACACCCTCTCTACTTTTAAGATCGACTCAAAGCTTTACTTTTTTGATAAAGCTTATAGTTACGGATTAGGTGACCCTGAACCCATCCTTTAGTTATGCTGCTAAAGACAGTTTTTTCTTTTTCTTTTTGTAATAATGTTTTTTGAACACTACTTTTATTTTGCAGGATTTTAGCCAAAGGAAAATTTGAATAACAGTGTAGTATGTCTATGCTTCAGGACTTCATGTGATGCACTGATAACTTCTTTTCCCCTCTCCTCACCTCTTCTTTCTCTTGTTTTTCTTTCCCTTCACCCTCCAGCTGTTTGCTGCAGAGAACCCCCCTCCCTCCCTGAGACGGTTATAGGGACTTTTCCTGTTAATAGGGAGTTTTTCCTTCCTACTGTTGCAAAGTGCTCGGTCATGGGGTCTTTACCTTATGGTATAAAACAACTAGAGGTGACCGTTGTTGTGATTTGGTGCTGTATAAATAAATAATAACTGAATTGACTTGAACTGATTCAGTGAAAATTGCCTTGGGTGTGATAAAATGACCTACTCCAGTGCCATCCTTTTATTCTAGAACACCACAAGAGTAGCTTTGCATGAGTCACAGTTAAAAAAATATAACTAAAACCTTCCTTTGAATGGCCAATATTTAGAAGTATGACAATGTGTAGCAACCTAATTTTTAAGTTTTATTTTTTAAGCTTAAATCTTTTAGTAAATCTTACAGTAAAACCTGATTAAAGGAGTTGAATATATGTCGCTGAGACGGTGAAGTTCAGAGGTGTCAAACATATGGCCCTGTACGATAGACTTATATCCATCCTGCATGATAATTTCATATGTCAGTTATTAATGGCCTGTCGGTATCTGGGAACCGAATCTTCAGCCCTACTTTGAATAGCAGAAATGCAGAAATATGTGCATGTAGCACAGAGCCATGGCTCAGTGTCTGAGTGTTTAAATGAGTCTCACAGGCCTGAATGTGTGCTTGAAGCCATTTTTAATTCTTAATTTGCTTGATCTGCTGCTCACCACAAACAAGCACAACATTTTGGACTTTTAACTGTATTTTCATAAGTTTTCAGCTTTTCCTACTTATAAAAAACTTCCTAATGGCTATTCATACTACTCAAAGTAATTAAGCAATAAACAATTAACCTGTTGAACCCCAATCTCTGTACCTCTCTGAGGCGAGAGGGAGAACATCTGGTTTAACACGATATACTGCTGGATCTGTTATTTAAATATAGACATGTGTGGTATTGACAGAAATGTCAGAATATCAGCTAAAAGCTCACAAAACCATTTCAACAACCGCTGAACAGCTAAAACAGCAAACAATTAAAGTCCAAGTAAACAGATTCTACAAAAAGATGTAAACACAAAGTGCGAACCAACAGCAAAAGAAGACCACAACTACACTTCACGTTTGAAAAACATTGTAATGAATTCCCTGAATTTGACCACGATAAAAGTGCACTTCCTGCATAGCTCTCTGTTTGCTTTGAGACCAGTTTTCCTTAAGAGATCTATTTTCTGCATTATTTGTTTGCTTATTACCACTCTACTGTTGTGTACAGTGTTGTTGGCCACTGTTTTTTTGTTGTTTTTCCCCCTCCAAAAATGACCTCTGACAAAAAATTCTGCTATTCAATTTCAAGGAAATTTCAACTTTTACAAATTATGTCAAACTGCAAAACGCTTAGCTATGTGTATAATAAAACCTCTGTAACTTTGTGAAAAACAGAAAAATTTCTCTTGTTCACTTTTTACAGAACAAGAAAAAAAAGAAAGAAGACAAAACAACAACAACAAACTGGACAGTCTGGGAAATTAGCTGCAGGAACTATTTCTGTAATTTTATTTTTTTATTACAATGTAAGTCCAAAGAGTCATGCTGACATATGTTTTGATTTGTCACAGCAGGCTTTTATTTATCGTGTAGAAAAAGAGCCCAACTTATGATCAAAGTGGGCTGTATGTGGCCTGTGGCGTAAAGTGGTTTTAGAGTTTTTCAGGCCTTTGTCTATGTAGTAGCTGTGCACTGTCACCAGGGGGCAGTGTCAAAAATATGTGGGACAACTGGTCCCTTAAATTAGCTCCTGAAGTAAAATATTGTTTTTGTCTTTGTTGTTGCTCTCTCTGCATTACAACCTGCTTTTCAACCAGTCAATCATATATTTTTTTTGGAGGCTTGCATGCAGGTACATCCGTGTTGGTTGCATATCCATAATCCTTCATGTCTGTCTTACTTGTGCTCACAATATTCATATTTTAACAGTGGAAACTAGGAGTTGCTGTAAGTACTATGTGTTTCCAGCAGGTAGATGTTAGGTTCAATCCCATAAAAAGTCACCATCCCAAACACTCACCTGCTTTATGTCAACCATACAGAGATGTCAAGATGTGACTGTGTCGTCATGGCGACCTCTCAGTAAACAAACTCTTCTTCAATGGGCCACAGCTCACAAGACAACAGTAAATATCCAGGAGGCCTGACAGTGTGTTTATGTGAAGTGAAACACAGATTTGATCACTGGGTCTCCTGCAGAGAAAAGATTTTAACTGGAGGGAAAGAGTAAATCGGATGAGAATTTTAAGTAGTATATTTCAAAATAAATGAAACTGTACCCTCTGAAAACAAATATGAAACTGTGTACACTGTGTGTGTGTCCTTTGCTTTTTCAAATTTAACCTTTAACCCAACAAAATGTTAGTTAATGTTAGTTTCTGATGCGCCAGTGCTTGGCTTACGCTAGTTAGCTAAAATAGCTAATGTTAGCAGCTTATAATAGACGAGAAAGCAGAAGAGCCAAATTCTGATCAAATTTCAGGTATTAAGAAGAAAATTTGGAGATTGGCGCTTAAAATGGCAATCATCCATCCACCATTCATGGTGGTTAGATGATTTTAAAAAATCCTTTTCAATTTTAGGGCTTAAAGTTGAGGTGTACCAACACAGGCAATATCTGGTATCTGTTTTCACACCACAGCTCTTCTTATTCAAGTCAGTGAAATTGACTTTTTCACCATGTTTGCAGTGTTTATGTCCTGTTGGAGGTTTTTAAATTTACAGTAGAATTGATTGTTGTCTAATAAGACCACACCCTATTCAATAGGGTGCTGTTGAGTTGGTGAGTGAAAACTCAAATCAGCAGGAATCTACATCTGTGCTATGATGCTACAGGTCTTGTGGATTTAGCTTGTTAACTAAGCTGTCTAACACTCCATTTTCTAACTATGGACATCACTGGTTTCAAAAACCAAGTGACAGTCTGAGTTGATGTCACAGTGGCCAAATGCATCCTTTAAAAATAGACACAAAAAGCAGTTAGTAAATTCAAATAATTTTCAAAAAAGCAGTTAACTTGGAAACAAATATGGCATCATCAAAAATAATAACATATCAATATCATGTTCTTTGTGAAAAATGTGATTTTGAGATTACTATTCCTTTAAGACTTAATTAAGACTTTATTCTGCACAGTGGGGAACTAAAAACAGTCAAAACCTCAGGAAAACAACACAAGCGACACAGTGGAAACTACATTACATGATCCACACACACTGAACACACTCTCACAATGAACATTGAACACTTAACTGTTTGGTATCTCAATATTTAAGTCATCTGCTGTTACAGTTCCACAAATGTTAACACCAGATGCTCAAACATGATCAACAGGATCATAGTGACTATGTTACTGTCTGCTGATGTAGTTCACTGCTGAACTTGTCTGGCGCTGCGCGTTAGAATCACCGGAGACTCTAACGTCCACATTATCACGACCAGAGAGAGCTCTAGTGAGTCAAAAAAACTTGCTGGCGGACAAATTCACAGAACGGCCAAGTCGTGGCAGCTCTTGGACCGCACTTTCACTGCCATGCGCTGGTTGTTACGTGCCACCAGTCGGTCCAGGAAGCGCCGGGCCTTACAAGTGAGGCTCTCTTTCCGTTTATAAACGGAGCGCCTGCGTTGAATGGCCTCGGTGCTGTCTCGACGAAGGCGGATTTGTCGGACCACGCCCTCAAATAGCTCGGTCACGTTGTGCTGAAGCGACGCTGACGTCTCAATGAATTTGCAGTCAAACACAACTGCACATGCTCGGCCCTCTGGGGATAAATGCACACAGACATATTAATATAGTAGCATGAATTCATTATTAGTACTTTTGTGGTTTTTATGTGTTTTTATGTACGTCTTGCACTTGCACTCCACCTTCCACAGCAACTTCTCTCGATCGGACTAAGTCACTCTTGTTTCCTACGAGGATGATGGGAAGGTTTTCGGCCTGGCGGGTACGTCGGAGCGTGATGCGGAGCTCAGCAGCAGAATCAAAGCTTGAGCGGTCGGTGACCGAGTAGACGATGACGTAAGCACTCCCCACCTTCAGACAGTCATTGTGAGAGGGGCCATCCTCCCCCTCCTGACAGGAAACCTAAACACAGAGAAGGTTGAACCCAGACTTTAAATCAGATCTTATCAGCTTCTTTGTGAATACTCACATAATGAATGCCTACTTCTTAAGCTGCTTGTGCTGGACAAAGTTGTCCAGCTTTTTTGAGGACTTCGACTGCACACGTCTGTAGCCCCTGCACTGGTTTAGCTCATAATCCTCTACGCATAACCAGAAAGCTATGCAAATGGCCACTATAAATTATACTGCTTTGCAGCTCAAGAATTTTTTTTTTTTAATGGTACCAAGGTAGAAAGAACTTTATTGTACAAGCTTTTTAGTACATTTCAGGTCATTTGCAACATGTTTGTTAAATTTGGTTATGAAATTTGCTCCAACAGAACACTTTGTTCTGAATTTCACATTAAATGTGAAAAAAACAAACTTACTGACACACGTATTCATATTATTTGTATTTGTGCACTCCTTGAGATGTTTAGTTTTTGTGGTAGTTTTTTTTTTTTTATCAACCATATCTTATTTCTTTTGGTAAAATTCATTTTGCTGTGTCAAAGTGACAAGTTTATGTTTTAGAGATCCTAAAATAAAACCTTAATCAACATAGGAAAAGTTTGTTTTAAAAAAAAATATTATCATCTCGACACAGTTCCCTACCATTGTTATTGTTTTTTTATGTGCCTGTGAAACCCAGAGATTCAAACACTGTAAATTTCCTGGCCTGCCCTACAGCCTTACTCTGTAACACATGGACACACCATGGTTTTGAGTTCAGTTTAGTTTCAAACTGTCGCTTAGTTTCCACAATAATTTTTATTTTTTTTTAAATAAAGTGTAGTTTTTGTAGCATAGTGTTTGTCTGTGAGATGAAATGATTTAAGGAGTTCAGAGCGATCCAAAAAAACAACCAAACAATGGAAACATTTGAAACACAGTAATACTGACATCCTCATCTTAATGAACAGATTCACAGAAGCTGTTGTGCTACCCAATCTGACCAGACTGCAACTAAAGACATTTCCTATACATTGTTGGTTTAGTTTGTTTTGTATGTACACGATGCTATTTTAGTTAGTTTTTGCTTTTTATTTAAGTCAGTTTTGTTAATCTCTTAGTTTTATTTTCAGTATTATATCTCTTTTCATTGTCGTGCAGATAACTTGCAGCTGTATTTATCTTTGAATTTTGGAAATCACTGTACCATAATAAGGCTCAATAAGGGCTTTTTGGGTATAGAAAATTGGGATGTCTCAGTTTTCTGCAGCTGAGCGAGTCCAAAACAGAGATCATTGTTTGTCTCTCCACTTTTAACTGAGAGGTTAACCTGGTATCTTTGACTACCCTTTTAATGAAATAGAGGTTAAAACCCATGGAAAAATCTTTTTAAAAAATGTGAAATTCGACAAACGAATCAATGCTGTGGTTAAAAACTTTCTTTCAGCTCAGAACATTCTCCATACTAAAATAAATTTTTTAAACCACTAGATCTGCAAAGGGTTATGCATGCTTTTGTTACCTAGACTGGACTACTTTAATGCACTGTATACTAGAGTTAGTCAGTCACTCTTGCTGGTTTGCAATTAGTTCAAAATGCTGCAGCCAGATTAATTACTGGGACAAAAAAGAGAGATCACATTACTCCAGCGTTGGCAGCCTTGCACTGGCTCACTGTGCTCTACAGAATCCAGTGTAAAGTTGCACTATTTATATTTAAAACCTTAAATGGTCATGTACAGCCATGCTGTATGTGGTAGACATGTGACATCCCGATCATTAAGCCTACTTCCAGATCACTGGTGCCTTTGCTGTCATTTCAAGACTCTGTAATTGTCTTTCAATATGTTTTTTTTTCATCTTTTAGAAACTGCTGATATCTGCAATTTTGGTTAGAGGATATGTTATTTTATGTAAACAGCATGAATGTATGTAGCATGATTTTTTTAGGCTCCTTATTGTTTTTTATGTAAAATCCTTTTATTGAAAAGCACTTTTCAATGAGTGATATAAACCAAATGTACTTTCTAGTTTTAGTTACTATATTGACACTAACACACTGTACCAGTTTGTCGTTCTCCCAGTTGTCCATGACGATGAGCGTGGTTTCCTCTCCATCTACTGTCAGTGTCCTCTCATATGTGTCTTCTGTAACATACAATAAATACAAAAAGACATGTTTGAGAATCTGCTTTTGAGCTAAACGCTGTGATCGGCATGCTAATGGGCTCACATGTCGGTTTTTATTTTGTTTGGCATTTTAGCGTGTTTGCATGCTGACACTTGCTAATTGGCACTGAAAGTACCGAAGAGCAGCTGTGGCTAAAGGATATCAGCACCTACAGGGCTGTGAAAAAATATTTGCCCCTTTGTTGATTTTTTTTTTGCTCATTCATTATATTTAAATGTCTCACACCATCAAATAAATTTTAATATTAGACAAAATACAGTTTTTAAAGTACAAAGGTTAGCTAAACCTATCCAGCCCTGTGTGAAAGTAATTGCCCTCCTTGATAAATCCCGATTTATCAGTGATTACAGTCAGACCTGCTGACTCAAGAAATTGCTTAAATAAAATCTGTTTAATGAAGTTAAGTAGGCTAAAAGATCAAAACCAACACACCATGCCACCATCAAAAGAAACTCAAGAACAGCTGAGAAACAAAGTCCTTCATCTGTTGGTCTAGGAAGGCGTAAAGCAGTTTCTAAAGCTTTGGGACTCTATCGATCTGTGGTGAGAGCTAACATCCACAAACAGAGAAACTTCGTAGAAGTGACCGGCCTACCAAAATTACTCCAAGAGCAGATTAGCGACTTATCCAGGAGATGACAAAAGAACCCAGAACAACATCTAACAAACGGTTGGCCTCACTTGGCTCAGTTAAGGTCAGAGTTCATGATTCAAAAGTCAGAAAGAGACTAAAAGACATCCAAGGGAAAACTCTAAGGAAAAAACTACTGCTAATCATAGAGAACACACAGGCTTGTCTCACATCTTGATGGTCCTCAAGACTTTGGGAAAATATTCTCTGCACTTACAAGACAAAAGTTGAGCATTTTGGTATAAAAATAACAGCATTCCATGAGAACATCATACCAACAGTCAGACAAATGTGAGGGTAGTGTGGTGGTCTGGGGATGCTTTGCTACAGGACCTGGACAACTTGCCGTAATTGATGGAACCATGAATTCTGCTCTCTATCAGAAATTCCTGAATGAGAATGTTTGGCCATCAAGCTTGTGCCCTGACACTGAAGTGCAATTGAACAGGACAATGATCAAGAACACACCAGCAAGTGTGGCTTTGTCGCAGTCTGGACTTGAATCAGATTGAGCTGCTCAGTCCACGCCGGAAAACCCTCTGCCCTCTTTGAAATTAATGCGTGTGAGCAGCAACACTGATCTATAAAACATAATCTATTGGTTGATATTGAATTAGAGGGCAATGCAGGGAACTGTGCATTTTCAGAAATGCTAGTATATAACCTCTCCTCAACTTCATTTTCATTGGATGTGTGAAAAACTGAGCTGTGTGTCTAGGGTGGACTGTTTTTCCATTTTGCACGTATACAAACATACTGAAGCGGCAGTAAAGAAAGCAAAGAGGAAAAAAATGCAGGCAAAAGTTAGATGTTCAACTAATATGTGTCAAGCTATGCTCAGAAATTAGGCTGTAGGTGAACAAGCTGGAGATTCTCCTGATGGTGTATTTTTTTCTTTTTATGTTTGAAGGGGGAAATAAACTCCCTTGGCTGTTTTTCTTTTTCTTACCAGTAACATTTAGTTTGTCCTCTTTGTCCTTTTTGGAACATAAGGCTGCAGCAGCAGTACTGCTTCTTTTTTGTGTATGGGTCGCACACACTATGCAACATGAAAGGTGGATAGTGTTACCCTAACATGAGCCTGAACCTGTCCCTCGGTCTCAGTGTTGACTGGACTATAGCGAGATCACCCAAATCTAGTCCAGAGATTTTAGTTTGAACCAAAGTGGAGCACTGACAGATGCAGCTGAACATCTCTGTTATCCCTAGAGCTATGACTAAAATAATAAAAAACATGGTGGACCAAAAATAGACAACAATAAGGTAAACCCTGACAGCACAACCCACATCAAAATGAAACAGAAAAAAGCCAAAATGTTAATGTTTCAAAATGTTCTGTATGTTTCGTTGGAATAATACTCTGTCATGTCTGTGCTATGAATTACTCAGAAAAGAAGCCTTTTTGCATTCATCTCTCTGAAAATCAAACAATTACGCACAAATTATATGGATGTTGGAGGCAAATAAAAGATCAGTTTGAAAAGATAAAAAGGCCAATCAGTGATTAACCAACAAAAAAACCCAAAAGTAACAAAAACAAAACAAAACATGTAAACCCATGGATGTATGACCATTCTGAAAACAGCAGACAGACTCTGCGCCTCGCATCACGTCAGACTATCACCTGATCGATGCAGCTTATCAATTATGGCCTGAGGCCAGTCAACACGTGACAGATGATCAATTTCAGGCCAGCCAAGGTTGATCTCACAACAAAGTCAGAGACAGAAAGTGCACTGAGTCTGAGTGTAAAAGATTGTGAAAGCATGGTTAAAAACTGTCTGTGGTTAAGGAATCCTTTTGGCTAATTTCTATTTATACAGAGTCAGTTGTCAGTTAACATATCTGTGGCTTGTGCTAAAGCTTTGCAGCCACCATCAAAAGAAACTCAAGAACAGCTGAGAAACAAAGTCCTTCATCTGTCGGTCTAGGAAGGCGTAAAGCCATTTCTAAAGCTTTGGGACTCTATCGATCTGTGGTGAGAGCTAATGTCCACAAACGGAGAAACTTCCTAGGAGTGACTGGCCTAACATATCTGTGGCTTGTGCTAAAACTTTGCAGCATTTTTGATTTGACATTATGGTATTACGCAGCAAAGGGTAACATCTCCATTTGTTCTTATGGGGCTGAGTTAACATCATGAAGTTAGTCTGGGATCATATGAAGACAATGAAAACAGAGAGACTGCTTGAATCCTCTGACAAGTTCTCCAATAAGACTGGAGGAATCCTACCTGTAAAATACCTAACTGAATTGAAATAGTTTATTTAAGCCTAAAGTGTTTATAAAGGGCTTTATTTTAAAGAATCTAGATGTTCTTTCTGTACAATATTGAACTTCTAAAGGTGTTAGGTCCATCATTTTCCATTTTTTTGGGCATCATGTTTTGGGAAACTTTAACCCTGTCAACTAAATTAAACAACACCTATACTACTACTACTAATACTAATTAACTATCTTAATTAACTAAAAACTATCAGTAAGTGTGACAAATTAGATGTAATGACCACCAGGCACTTAAAAAACAAGTATAATAATGTCCCACCTCCAGGTTGTTCATCCTTGTCTGTGATCCCGGCAAAGATTCCTGCGAGGCTAGTCTTTCCGACTCCATGATCACCAAGCAACACTACTCTGTAAACACAGTCCGAATCACTCTGCGAGTCATCATCAGAGTCTGAACTCCACTGGGCACGGTAATGGAGGGACTTGTCTCCAGGGTGGTAGGACGCTGACTGTCCCAGAGGGGGGTGGTTGCGCTGGGGACGGGGCTGCTCTGGGTTGGGTTGGGTGCTGCTGGGGATCCAAGGCGGTTGCTGGTAAAGGGGATGAACTGGAGTGCTGCCTCGCCTTTGGAGGGGCTCCTTCTCTCTCTGGGTGTTGAGGGTCATGTTCCTACGGTAACGGCATTAGGACAGGATGGGCCTGAGGGAGGAAATAAGACTGTTAATGGTTCAAAGGAAAATCTGGTCCAAAAAGGTCCTTGCAAACCTTTTCAGGGAGGCAATTTGTTGTCTTTCCCAAATAACCACCTCTGTTTTTGCCACAGTGATGTAGAAATGTGCTCTGTTTTTAAGTTTAGACCAGAGCAGGTGGAGAAACACAGCAAGACCTTCATTTGTCTGCTAAAAGTGTAGTCTATTTTTGTGGCATAATGTTAACTACTCTACACTATAAAATGCATAATAAAGCACCAGAGATTTCCTTGTTAAATAAAAGGTTAAATAAATAACAGTATTTCAAAAGGAGAGCGTGACTGTGTTCTCCGGATTTCCTGCCTGGTTTTATAGACTGACCTCCACAAGTGTATCCAGAGGGATTGTGGCAGTGACAGCTGGGGAAGTTATGGTGGTCAGGATATATTGTAGAGAGGAAAAAAAGTTTATTTAGTTAATCTGAATTCTCAGAGCTCAGCTGTATTATTGGATTACATGGTGGCTAAAAACAGAAACAATATATACAAATTCATCTTTAACTTCATTCATCTTTAATTTCACTGATTGTAGGTTTTAGCAGTAGTGCTTCAGTCTAGGGCTGGGCGATATTCCCTAAAATTCATATCGCGATATAATTTGATGCACGTGCGGTAACAATATATATCACGATATATTCTTTTCTTCTGTATAACGTATTTTCCACACTAAAAATCCTTTAATTTTCTCAAAAATTGAGAGTGTGCCTTATGTATGAATTACTTGAACTTACTGACCTCGAACCGATTGTGGCGTGCAGAAATCTGTTAAAAAATGTTTTAGTACAACTTTGGTAAGCTGCACTGCTTGATGGATTGTCAGAGCATTACGGCTGCCGTAGTAAGGAGCTTCGCGGAGTAATCTGGGTCCAAAACTCCGTCCGCTTCAGGTACCAAAGTCAAACAAACACTAAGAGTTAAAAACGGTCTAAATTATTTCATCTTTAATTAAATCATCAGCGTTGCTGCTTTATCGGGTGTAACAATTAAGTTTAACATCCAGGCATCCATGAAAACAGAATTTATTAAATGTTAGAAGTTAACAGGAAGTTCACTCACCTAAACATGACATACCCTGTTCTGACTGAGAGATTTTTGAAACTAATTCAAACGTACAGCTCTGCTACCACTTCCAACATAAATGAAGACAGAAAACTAAACAGCAGTGGCGTTTGTAGGGTTACTGAAGTTGGACTACCTGGTATATAATGATGTGCTACGTGATTGCTAGCGACACAGCTATGTTAGCATAACATTAGCACAGTGAAGCTGGAGGATGAACGCCAACTTTTTTTCCACTCGATAAAAATTAACGTGAGGGTTTCTGGTGGTCAGAGACAAATGCAATCGCATAGCAGGATGCTATACACAGGGCAAACTTCAGTCAGGAGAACAACTGAGATCATTCATCCACAATACGAGGTTAGTTATTAATATACTGCAACAACATGGGAATAGAGCAGCGGCGAGAAAATTCAACATTAATGAATCAATGTTACAGAAGTGGAGGAAGCGCAGTTTTTGGCTTTCCCCATATTTCAAAAGTGCTTCATCTCTTTACTATGACTGTCGCCTGCCATAATTTGCAGATGATAATGGTTTTAGCTGCTGCGATGCTTTCGACCAAAACAGGCGCAGCATAATGACATCATCAACATGCGCTATTGCGATAGAGCGATATAGTCAAAATCTCTATCGTTGGCCAAATTTATATCGTTTCTATCGTATATCGTTTCTATCGCCTACCCCTACTTCAGTCTTTAATGAAGATACTATAGACTACACTTAGACAGTTTATTAGATACACCTAGTACCAGATTGAACTTCCATTTTTGCCTACCTAGGTAGGCTGTGCTGTTTTAACAATGCTCGGTACTAAGAGGCCTAAGTGTGCAAAGAAAAACACCCCTTATACCATCACAACCCTACTACCGCCAGCATAAACTGGTAATACAAAGCAGTATGGATATATGGTTTTTATATTGTTTACGCCAAATTCATTGAAAAGTCATAGCAGAAACCCTGATTCACCGGACAGGAAAATGTTATTCCAGTCTTTTACTCTACAACTTTGGTGAACGTGTGCAAATTTTAGCCTCCATTTTCTCTTCTTAGCTGACAGGTGTGGCACTTGGTGTGCTCTTGTGTTTTTACAACTCATCTGCTTCAAGATTCAATGGGATGCAAATTTGCATATCATTATAACCAGTGTTTATTTGAGTTGTTTCTCCTCTGACCTCAGACATTAACAAGGTATTTTTGTCCAGAGCTCACTGGATATTTTCTGTTTTTCAGACCATTCAATCCCTGTAGATCAGTAGTCTCCAAAATACTCAAACTAGCCAATCTGGCACCAACAACCATTATGCATTAAAGGCACTTAAATGACCTTTCTTCTGTTGTTGACTGCTATGTGATTAGATATTTGAGTGGGTGAAAAGCTGTGCCTAATACAATGGCCAGTGAATGCATAGAAAGAGCCTACAGATCAGAAAGGTGATGCCAATTCATGAGAACTTTATATCTGGATATCTGGATTTTTTTCTAATGTCCAGCAGTCAGCACTGCTTTGGTTTTAAAAAATAAATCTGATTGTATGCTGTATAAAGTGCAGGAGAAAATTAGTTTGCAGCTTACAACATGTGACAATGACAATTTACTTGTGAGTGCTCAGTGGCTAATTTAAAGTCAAATTTATGACAACATGATTTTCATTCAGTAAGTTTTCAAAAGTACTTCGTTCTCAGTGACGTCCACCCCTCGCCCGTGACATGTGGTTTAAAAAACCTATGATCATGATGGCCCAAAAGCTCACCTTGTTGCTTAAAAATAGGTGTCCACAAATTAGTGACTTTATAGTGACTGTCCATCATTTATATACAGGCTATATGTCTGCGCGCAAGTAAATTAAAACCTGAAAGTACAGTTGATTATCTTTAGGGATTATTAAAAGATTGCAAGGCCATAGAAGGACTTAAAATGTGATAACTTTGCTGTGGACAGATAGCTGCCGAGCTAACCTTAAATAGTGTTTGTTTTGATGTAGTGTTTTTTTTTTTTTTTTTTTTTTAAATAAATGCATTTTTGAAGTGGTGTCTGAGTGACCTCACTCACTGATTTATGTACAGAAGAAAGCACTTTGCTAGGGAACAACACAACAAATAACATGCCCTTGCCAATTAAGAAATTTGTGAACAATTTGTACAGTGATAGCAGTTTCAGACAAAATTTACACCTTCATTACATCTCCATGTATTCTGTGGTATCATGTATCACTATCATACACAATACTTCATGCATTTCATTCAGTCATGTCATTCTTTGTTTAAAATGAGTTAAAGAAACCCAAAACTTTGTTTAATTTGATTTCTCTGTGAAAACAAATGCATTGAGACAATTAATACTATTATAACAAACATCACAGATGGGAATCAAAATTACAAACTTAAAAACATATAAACTCAAGAAACCTTCTGGAAAATGTCAAACTTAAGTCTCAATTCCAAAATATAGCTAGAGATCAAAGAAGGAACCAAAAGCGACTTCTCCTATGCACCAGAGAGCAGAGACACACAAAAACCCTCCTATAATGAATAATTAACACATTTAAAGGTGCCAAGTACAACAGTTAGTGGTGGTGAAGGCCGGGCAGACCAGGTGAAAGCTGCTGGTTGCAATGAAAAAGTTACAGCATCACCAGTCCTACAAAACTGATAAACTTGAAGCTAAGGATGAGCAGTAACAAATCACTCATGTAATACATACAATATACAGACCAAATAACTGTACTTGACTAGTGATGAACAACATTATTTGGTTTTACTTAAAGCAAACCAAACAAACTGAAAGAATGAGAACTAACCCTAAACATGATTTTAGCTCTGAAAGTGAAGTTTTTTTGAATGAAATATCTAAAACTCGTTTATTATAGGGCTAATAGCTAAAAACAGGGCAAAACACACAGCATGTCTATGGATAGATAGATAGATAGAGAGACTTACCATATACACTCCATGCACAGCTGCTTCCGTCCAGCTTCAGTAAACAACAGAACTGAACTGAACCCTGTCTCTCTGACTCTGTCAGTGTAACAGTACCCTGGTGCCACAGTAACCCGCCTAGAAAAAAAAAAAGTTCCACAACAGCGTTAAAAATTCAGCAGTGGAATCACGGTTATCTACCTCCCCCAGTGTGTGTGTATGTGTGTGTGTCTCAGAGTGACAGCAGAGGAGAAACAGATATCTGAGGAGGGAGTGTGTGTGTGTGCGTGTGCGTGTGTGTTTGAGAGAGAGAGTTTTATCAGTGTGGAGGGCAGGCGGTTTAGGAAAACATTTTGGTCACTTCCTGTTTGACCTAAAAGACACAGTCTGGAGTAACAAAACAGCTCAGTTGGAATAGTCTAGTTTACAATTGATATGATAACTTTTTTTAAAAAAAAATTCTGGTTACATAGAAATAAAAGATACAGACAATACTTGCTCTAATTTTCTCTCATATGTTATATTGGTGGACACTTATATTAAACATGTTTAATCCTATGATTGAAATAATAATTTAAGGATGCTAATGAGACCAAATATCAGGCTTATTTTTACTCTGCTTAGGTTTAGATAAGACAAACTTACAAAGTGCTTTGAGTGCTCAAATTGAGTAGAAAGGTGCTATGTAAGTACCAGTCCATTTACCAGTTTATTAATGGCAATTTATCAGCTCCCTAACTACTGAAGATATAATTTTACTGCCTTTCTAAGGAATGAAAACAGCTGATTTTTAGGTTAGCAGAAAAATCTTTCAGCTCCGAGGCTATTTTTTCCCCAGTTAATACAGGTAAAACCACATGTTGTGGCATTGTTTAGTGTTTGTGTGATAAAATGTTGATGTCACAGCTGAAGAATTTCGTCATGTGTAGTTTGAGGCAAGACAAGTTGCATGTATTGTCAAAATACAGGAAGTTCATTCACAGTAGGAGCACAAACTGTTAAATATGTTTTGAGACACCACCCTGTCGACGTACTAACACTAAGTATAAGTTGTAGTTTGCTCCATTGGGGTAATTCCATAATGGAAATATCCAAATTGACATGGAGGGGACAAAAATAACACATTATTACCTACCAGTTGATGAAGTCGCCAGTTTTGTATGGATTAGTAGCTAGTAGTCCTGGTGAGTTAAAATGATGAATTAAGACTTAAGGATATCTCTGCCTTTCGCAGATGACGTGGTTCTGTTGGCTTCATTGGGTAATGGCCTTCAGCTCGCACTGGAACAGTTCACAGCCGAGGTCAGAGACGTGTTCCTGCCCCAAGTGGAGGAGTTTAAGTATCTCTTGTTCCCGAGTGACAGGAGAAGGGAGCAGGAGATCGACAGATGGATTGGTGAGAAAAGTACTTAAAGACGTTCGGGTTTCTAGGACCTAATGTTAGCTGGCACGACGTTAGCTTATAATTTTATGTTGTTGTTTAGTTAGTTCTTGTTAGCTGTCTGGAGATGGGAGGGTCGTATGTCTGATCTGAAATGATAACCAGTTCCAACGATATTAAGAGTAAATAAGCAAGTTCATCTAGGATTTCTCATGTTAGAACCCTTACTAGTTCAGGAATGACACTTAAGGTGAGGAGGAAGAAGTTTAAATGGAGTAGTAGCGGAGGATGCAGATGAACAAGATCAAAAAGAAAACACTGAACACCACACTACAAAACTTCTGTACAAACAGACCAGAGGAGTCGCCCCCTGCTGGTCAGTGGGAAACGAGCAGGTTTAAGGCATTCAGTGAAGGCTTAATTCAGATCCAGAAGCCAGAGTAGACTAATTGCAATTGTCATGCTTTTTGTTTCCATTTTATTTGAATAACCCAAAGTTCCTAGAAAAAGTTATTCATGATTTTGTTACTTCCTGTCTGGACTACTGTAATTCCCTGTGCTTTGGTATTGAACAGTCATCTTTACACTGCTTGCAGTTGGTCCAGAATACAGGATGCCATTATACGATCTTCCATGTAGAAATGAAAGAATCATTAAAAATGTGAAGCTTTAATAGCATGCCAAAGTTGGGATAAATCATATTCAAATTAAGTATTCAACATGAATATTTTCATATTCATTATTCTTAACGTTTTATACCTCTGGTAGAAATGAATTCCCATAGTTTACACATGAGCTGAGATGGAAAATTCACTTCCTCTGTGTCAGTGTGAGTGTTCTGACTGAAACTCAACACATCGCAGATGTTTAGCTTTTGTCCACCCCCTCAGGTTAAGAGTTTGAATATAAAAGGAGGAGTTTCTCTGTGCATTCCCATTTGTTTGAAATGTAGTTTCCTAAACAGCACAGTCTGGCACAATTGATTCATAACTTTATCAGTCAGCTAGTTCATATCTAATGGATTTCTGATTTGAGACCAAAACAACTCTACCTTTCTACCCCCTCTTTTTGATTTTGCCATCCGCTGAGAACTGCATCTGGCTTTAATCAGGTGTAGACAGCTCATAGAAGACTCATGCCATCATTAGTTTTATGAGCTGGTTGAAAGCTTTCAGTGTTTCCACTTGTTTTAAAAACAAAAAGCCTTTAAAGGGCTTTAAAAACAAATTTAATTTGCAGGCTTTTATCAAAATAATAGACTTGCTTTATACAGTACAACCTTTCCTTATGTTGTGGCTATTAACCTTCTCCCTTTATAAGGAAAATTTTACCAACAATCAACAAATAAACACTAAAATTCTAACAGTTCAGACTAAAAACAGCAGGATATCAATTAACCTGTTGTGCAGATTCTATGGATGTACACAAAGCAGAGTACCCCAATGACGAAGTGCCCCATTTTGAAGTCAATGGCCAGACTTAGTCACATCAGACAGTGTACAAAATTCCAGTCCAGAGAGGTCGATTGAATCCACCACCAGTTGCCAGATTTAATTAAATCCCTTAATATTGTCATCTAAGGTGAATGTCAGTTTTTCCAGGGGACGAATTCTTAGAATCTCGTAATACAAATCGTCCATTATGGGTACATACCGGGAGGTCCAGTATTGAATCACCAGTCTAGCTATGTAAAAAAAATTACTATAACATTAAATAAACATTATTTTTAGCCACATCGAATGACAGTATACAGTGGATGGAGGGCATGTGCAAACTGCACCATGTCAATATGTTTTTTTAACTTCTTTTCAGAAGCTTTAGATCTTTGAACAATCCCAAAAAAATATGCATGTTGTAGATTTTATTACACTTCATAGGTTTGTGTGCTGAGACTGCCTCACAGCAGTGATGTGCCGTGCAGTCTGGATTATTTTAAACTGGGTTTCCCAGCCATCATTACTGTTAAGCATGGTCCGGGAATTTGTTATATGGCAGATCTCCATGCCTGATCATCAGTCTTGTGTCTTATGTCCTTCTGCCACTGATTTGTGATATGTAAATAGAAAGTTTGCATGACATAAATCTGTCTCATAGAGGCAGATTGAGACAGATTGAGACAATATAATTTCCTATAAATGGTAAATGGCCTGTATTTGTATAGCACTTTACTAGTCCCTAAGGACCCCAAAGCACTTTACACAACCAGTCATCCACCCATTCACACACAGGTGATAGCA